ATCAACAATGCTTTTGTTAGAAAGACATTTCATTCCAATAGAGGGTTCACCATACCTAACTGGAAGTCGTGGACACAATTACGTAAGGATCTATCCGGTATCCAGGATCGGGTTGGGTTTAATCAAGGCACGATGGGTTACAAGGTAATCGAAACAGAGAAGCACAGACAGACTTCATTAAGCCTTTTGAGTTAAGATGCGAAAGTCGGGAAATCCGGGCTGTATCATATGAATAGTACTCGACCTAAAACACTAGAGTGTAAGCAGTCAAGCTGTCTGGCAATATCGGGCAACTGGGTTTTATATCAGAATTCCACGTGACCTATATCACAAACGAGAGATTCAAATAAAATTCAGCTGTCACACATCCAAGCCAACTGGTTTTGCGGATGAGTGTTTGTAGGGACATACACACTGTGTGTTGTTTAAGTTGGATTAAGCATACCTGATGAGCCCCAAGTGCGTAGTGACGTACCTAGAGTTTTCATTTATTTTTTCCATCTCATCAACCACCAGACGGTAAGAGTAGCACTGAATGTCACGTGCCTTTGTAATCAAAAAACATTGACGGCAGTTTCCAGTTGCAGATTTAAGCAGGTGAATAAATGCAATACACTGCTGTGAATGTAGAGCACAATGTAGTAAAATCTCTCGTCACAGTTTAACTAATAATGTGAAAGGAAGGCCTTCGTTAGGGATGAAATGATTGTGCATACCGCCAACTCAAACGTCAAACAAACGGTTACCACCATTGCTTTGCGGAAAATATGGATTGAAAGTATATACCGTCGAGTTCTCCAGCTGTTCATTAGGCTGAGATTTATGTATGGAACTAAGAAACCCGAATATCATATTGCTTACTGCGTCAAATGATGAGCCAACTGACCGAAAGAATACAAGATATATCGTAAAGGTTTCCTCAAGAAGCTCTTTTGCTGGTTTCCACAGTCTCCATTAACCTGGAGGTACTATCGCCAGTACCACTGTTTGGTGTCTTTCAGTGCTTGAGTTTGCCGGCTTTCTCAATCAGCAAATGCAGCAACTATCGATTTGTGTGACTCACACACAAGCAAAAACAGTTTGAGACGTGTATCTGCTTGGTGTAAACGGTCAGACCTGGCCTGACCTCGTACGTAGTGAATATCGATAAGTCATGATGCTTAAAGCTCCAGTGACTGTCGGCTACTTGGCCCGACAGTATGACAGCTTCTTTGGTACCAATTCAGTAGCGAGAAAGCGAAAGTGGGTGTCTCTGTTGGCATTGTCGTGACATCTGTTTCCGAGCTTACAGCAATCAACGTAACCGATCAAAATCATCCAATCGCAGTCCGAGATTCATAGCTGATACGCTGCCGAGGACAACTGCAGCTACTTGAGTGTAATGCACCTATGCAAAAGGTTGTTCACTTCGATACTGACTTGCCCGGTTCACCTCGGAAAGCTATGTGGCCCGAATAAACTTTGCACTGACTATTACCGCTTTAATCAGTAGGACGTCTTCAACCAACAAATAGGACGTCACATTCTATGCAATTAAGTTCTTGACAAAACCCACTGACGGAAATCACAGTAAAAACGGGAAAACAAATATGGACGGCCTCAGAAATGTCCAGAATTTTTGGTTTCGAGGTTAAATCGATAAAAGTGGCCCAGCCAAATCTCAGGTGTAACTCAATCGCACAGGGCTACTGGGCTATCCGTTGTCCACGAACAGTTAGGATACAAGAATACTGAGTATTAATACCAGAAAAGTCAAAAGAATCACGACCTACTGTGATCGGAGCTGAACACGAGATTTACAAACAAATAACTGAGGGTATCACGTGAGAAGTAATACTCGGCAGAGAATTTTGAGCTATTCTAGAGCAGATCCAGGAGAACCTACAAATTCTGTGTTGTCTGTGACGGTCTTGATGAGAACTGCCTCACGATCTACTAATTTTCAGGCACTGTTCAGAAAAAATTTAAAAACTTATAAATCTAATCAGAACATACATAAGAAAATGAAAGCTAACCGTACTACTCTTCATCGATCTTAGCCGAACTGTCAAGTGTTCAACAACTTACCGGAAGATCGAGGGGATCGAGACTTTGAGTTTTGCAAGATGCACACCACTGACGATTCAAAATAAGGATGACAAGTTGCGCAGTTCTTGCGACGTTCAATCTGATAAAGCGAAGTGGCTACAAAGGCCTGCTAGCTCCATTGTAACGCCGGGAAACGGCGCCTTAGCAAGTAAACTTTAATCACTTCTAATTTTCCATTTCAAGGGAGCTATTGACCTGTTTCAACGACTTTGATCCCTAAATTTTTAGTGTCTGATTCGTAAATTCCACTTAGCGACCCGTTCGCTATTGTGTGTATTATCCCCGAGACGCACAACTTGCAGGTTCGAACCAAATCATTATCTGCCCATCTCTGGAACACAAAGTACACAGAGGCAACACCGTATGACTCCACTACGAATTCCATTGGTCTATTGGAATGGTAGTTGACACAGCATCTCAGTACAAACCCGAAAATACAGCTGACCTTAACTGCAGTAAGCTGATCGAAAACTCGCCAAAAGTACGGAGTCATTTTACTCCGTTCATTGCACAAAGTATTGGGTGTTTGAACGAAAACCGACGAGCAAACCAGGCTTATTGGCTATCGCACCACAGAAACTTCAATAATAATTTGTGTTTCAATTGCAAACCAGCGCAAAGCGAGATGCAATTTGGTGCCAGCCTGGCAGACCATCATTGGTGAATCAGTTTAAAATGTACTCTGGAATGTAAACTATCTACATCCATGTTTAAAGCTTGAGAGCGGTAAACAGATCATAGAATAAGGGCATGCGCCACGTCTATGCTGTTTGAAAAATGCGCCTGTTGGTATCCGATATAATTTCGAACTAGATCATTCCGCAGAATTGCTATTAGGAGATTATGCCATAGAAAATTTGCCAAACTGTAACTTGACATCAGTTATGTGGATTGAAGATACCTAGAGGAATATGTCGGGAACGTACGAAGACTGATTTGTTTACCTTGCAGTTAGTAGTATTTAGTTGCCGGACCTGTGCAGTTCACATCCACATCAATCGCATTTGATTAGTTCTTCTTCTCTTGTTTTGAAGTGATAGTTCAGCTGTGTTCAGCGTACACTGGCGAAGTAGTGCCAACACGACCACCCCGCATGTCACATGTCCGGAGTTCAAACCTTGCCACGGCCAAGGAAACTTTAAATTTGTTTTTGAAGAGTTTACAGAAGACCGAGAGATCGTTTACCGACCCAAGTAGTTAAAATTGATGGAATATCATCCACCGTACCGAATGAATTCCATTATGAACACCGTTGGGTATAGTAAATGAGATTTTGTGTCACTTTTCGTTGGCCTCCTAGCCACCAGGCCTACTTCATGAGTATTTGCACAAATACCACAAAAAGGCCTCCGGAAAATTGGTTTCAGGCTCTATCGCTCCCCCTCCAAAAGGATACTCCGAACGTTTGCTCAGTAGAGGAGGGTGTTATGGTAATCAAAAGTACTCAACCCATCATATCAAGTCTAGCAAGCAGATATGTGTGATATATCGATTCAGTGATTCATCGGCTGCATCGATTATTTAATCCTTTCTTCGTTGAGTGATTTTAATCCGCACGAAAACGTCGATTTCGTCTTTGTAATTTGGGTGTTTTCACCCATAATCTGGCTGCCGTCTGTTTCGCGCAATTCAGGTAATAAAACAACGAATACGTGCTTTCTCTGCCTTGACTGCATACGCGGAACGCCTAATAATTTTTGACATTCTAATGTAGAAGTTCTCAAACTTTTCAGCTCATTGCCATCTCAGTTCTTTATTTAATGCCCAAACGTGAACAGTTAGAACATATATAGTGATGATACCTCCTAACAAGGCTTTTCTCAAGGGAGATCACCCACCGTAAAGCACTCAACAGGATTTTCTTCAGAGCTCGAGGTAGTCTGCGATCTCTTTGAAAAGAGAATACCTTGTCCAGGATTTCATTGGCTGCTTGAAAAATAGTACTTATTAACTACACGCGACGGCTGATATACCTATTCATGAAGGGAGCTTAAATCGGCACATATTAATTAAGACATTTTATTCTAATTTAATACAATGGTGATATCCTCGTTACGGTTGTGAGATGAGTTTGAAATCGTAAACACCAACGCAGAAGGATGCACGTCAGTATTTTTGCTCCGGCAGACCCGAAACGGGCATACTCCTGTTGGCTCACTAAGGTAAGAAATAAATTGGAAAATCTGCTAACAGAAGCTGCCGTTTTGGTGATCAGCACGGTGCAGCAATTCGCTTCATCCCAGCAAAAATTTCGGTGTAAGTCACTCCGGTAATACATTGGCTATGCGAATGTATTGTGAACCTATCACATTCGAAGACCCAGGTAAAGGAAATCAAAACGTTTAGGCACGACTAGGCTGTTTGCAGGGTAGCACACCACTTGTGTTAATAGGTGCTACTGTCATCTGTGGCAAAACGGACATGATCTAGGAGAGAAGTATATGTATAAATCGTTTTCAGACGCGGAAGATGAAACCAACACTTCGTTCTTTGTGGGACAGATGCTTCAAGATACGGAACGGCCACGGTTAACATCACGGACTACCACACTGATGGAATAAACTGGACGAAAATTGACTATCTAGCAGTGAACAGATATGGGAAACAGTTTTAAACTTCTGTTGACATGAATCCATGGAAACGAAAACTTATTTCGATTGTCGCCCTATTTTTCTCCGCTTTATCCAACTCAGGAAATAGATTAGGACGACGGTCAAACTGAAGAGTGTAATAGGATGTGTGATAATCTCCCACGTACGTCGTGCCTCACCATACCCAAAAATAATTTGAACCACACCCAAACCGGGAGCTTTTTCATCTTTCAATCATCAAGAATAATCAATCTACTCATCTGAGAATTTTCCGAGATTTCATGCAAATAAAAGGAACGTTCCGAAGAAAAACGGACTTACTTTTGTGAGCGAGAAGCCCAAGACAGAAACAAAGAAACCCGAATGAATATAATGCAGAAGACTAGACTGAATCAGTGGATGGGCGACCTGAAGAGAACAATAAGAAACGAAAACCATGAGTTACTAAACTGCTGCAATATTTTTTTCGAAAGCGGACGCGGCAAATAATGCAACGCAGTTCAGCCAGAGATACAGTGAAGAATTCGGGTATACTTCGGCCAGTCTACCTTGACAGAAGGTTCTGAGGGGAAATCAACCAGTCTGCAAACATCCGTCTAGTTGTTATAGTCGTCAATGTCTTCGAAAGCCATGGATACTAGTTTGGGACGTCTAAACTCCCAGGGATGGAGATGAATAACAGGCACGCAGGGATGACGAGTTCAAGCTCTACGAGATATCACAATAAGACGACCAGTTGACTACATTATTGGAAGAGACCACGTAAACTTCCGTTGCGGGTTATCTAAAAATTTATCAAAAGAACCGCACACCCCCTCACCCAGGGTTCCAGGTGAAACGAAGCATGCCACGTGATGCGGTAACTCCTCCCAAATTCAGTATTCTTAGAGAATGTAAAATGTTATCAATCCATGGAATGGCTCCTGTGATGAACCTGATCACATGAGTGTGCTCATGTAGGTGATGTAAACCAGCGTACACAAGTGCTCCGGTGGAGAAACGGTAACAGGCTGGTTCAGAATGTCAGATGTTTGGAGCCCAAACCACTGCATGGCAAACGATGTGCACTACTGATGTGCTCTAATAACAGTTAACCTCAACTCCAGTACTTCTCCGATTTGATTTAGACTCACGAGAATAACTGTGCACAGAAAAGCAGAGGAATGGTCACGCCTCAAGAGAGAGTACCCTCAGACCACCAGGAGCGTATCTTATTAAGATTCTTTGTTTACTGGAACTACTGTAGGTACAGTTGACATGTTCTTCTTTTCAGCAGTTTCCTTTACAACCATCGTTTCACTTCACATTAGTTGCGTCACTGCCGGTCACACTTAGACAAGCAGAAGGGGTATCGTGTAAGAAAACCAAATCATTTGATATAGAAAGGGGTTTGGATTAGACATGTTCAACAGCTTCAGAGCTTTCGCGATTCAGCGATTTTTCAAACACGGACCATCAAAGCTACATTGGTTGCCTAATTGACGCTGCATAGCAATATAGGTAACCGACGAGACATTTCACCAATTTAAGTCAATTTCCGTCACCATTCGCTGCCCTTCTAAACTCGAGTGCAGTATCTTCTCGAACCAGGTTCGACTGTGGTCTGTGGATGCGTAGTTCATTCTGACTTTCAAAGCATAGTATGAGTATACATATCAGATATGCATTTGTACACCAAGCTACTTAACCCAGAGGAGGCCAGTACATATTTAAGTTGCAATGTTTCCTGTTAGTGAATAGCGCTTAAAAGTAGTGCACATCGGCTGTCTTAACAGCCAGTGGTAGCGAGAATACTGATTGAACTTGTCATGAACATAAAACATCCTCCTGTCTCATAAGCTTACAACTAAGGATGCCAACTAGCCTAAAGGCGTTGCGGTTGACAATGTGAGATTTGTCCAACGCAAGATAACGTTCAACAGGAGATTGCTTTTGATGGGTACCTATATAGTTTGAATCATGTTTGGTCATGATAAAGATTTGGACAGTCTCACCAGTAGGACTGTGCAAGTCACGAATGTAATGGTTGGTGAAGTTACGAAGACTGACAGCTAGCTTTACGGAGATTTTGTGATGAGTACTGGACGGATTCCGGAGACAGCAGAGTACTATGAAAATTCACCATAACGGTGTATGCCATTAATACTAGAGTGTCCTTAGTGCAGGACAAAACAGGTTAATCCTGAGATGTATGTCAGAGCATATTAGCCAGAAGACAGATGGCGAAAACTTTCGGAAACACAATACATTTTAATTCATTTTGGTACTAGGCGTTCAAGAAGTAGGTACTCTTTCGCCTCCGAACTTTGCAGAAGTGTTCACTTAAGTGGAAAAAACAAAACTTCTGCAGAAAACAGCAATGCATGCTCAACCTGAACAAACAGCTGAATAGCTCGTCTAAGTGAACTTGGCTCTGGAATAAACTAGAGATGACCCTTCACGTTTCGGAGGAACCTATCAGGTTTCCCAAAGAAAGGAAGTGAGAACATTGGGATATACGAGGAGCAACTGAGGAGCCTCTGTAGAGCAGTAAAAAAAGCAATACTATTCCTCCGTCATTAGAGCTTTTCCTTTAATCACGTTCCTCGGAGTGAGGTGAACGGACAGAAGTTTGCGTTGCTCCAGGGCTATCAGTGGTCATTAAAATAACCATATATCTGGAGACAATCTGGATGCAGGGATACGACATCGGACAGGGTTCAAAAAACAAGTCGTGGCAAATATAACACATTAGAGCCACTAGTCTCTTAGTTATGTAGCTACCCTTTCGCCACATACATGATTGTACCGGTCACCGCCACTCGCTGGATCACGAGATCTATTTTTTTCCCTGCACTCACAAATCACGCTACAATCGTGACTAACTTGACTACACAGCTCACAGTCGAGGCCTTCATCCCAAGACCTAGTTTTTCTCCCTAATAGTACAAACCACGATACACATGCGATATCGACTGTCTACCGTCTGATACGGTAGCAAAAAGTCATGTGCTGACAACCCCACACACGCAAACATCCTACAAATAGGATGCCAGCACAGCAACACGACACAACGCAACAGAGCTTCGCGCGTCGCCCAGCTCGGAGCAGAGCCGCTCAGGATTTTTACGCCGTTTCACTCACGGATATCCAGGACTACGTGTGGCTGTTACAACAGCGAAGAAGACACGAAACATGCATCCGCATTTACAACAGGATTTATCAAACTGTACCTGCAAAACGATAAGTCCTTGTTTGCATATATATACCTATTGTAATAATTTTACTCAACAAGCGGACATTGTTAGTGCTTTCTGTTTTCTCGTTCATACAACTAGTTTTCGGGTTCCGTTAGAGCATAAACAGTTACCATCCACAGTTAAAACATTCTATACCTTCTTCACAAAACCGCGAAGCACAGACACTTCAGCCACGTGGAGTTACCATACCAATCTAACCAAATTGAGTGGGAACCCTATTGATTGTGATTAAGTCACATCCAATCAAGATAACATGAAAATAAATAAATTGTGACAGCCGCAAACAGTTACGAAAACATTCTCTGTATATTTACAGTTCAAATTCTTCTACAACTCATGGGGAAATCACATATTGCGATGGACCTAAAAAGAACTCCGTCTGTTTCTTGTGGAAAAACAAAGCAGTAACCTAAAGCGCATAACACTCACCTCTAAGACTGATTGACAAAACTCCAAGGCATCGAAAAATTCGGAAAACTTGGGGGAATTTTGCTCATATTCATCCAGAGTTTGCATCAAACTCGGCCACGATTCGGGTAGGTTATTATTCACCAACCGACGAGGGAGTTCCGCATACAACGTGGCCAAACCGGTTGCCAGAACCTGAGCATAACAAGAAAAAGGTTACAGTGAGATCGTACTAACACCGCATTGGACGATTAATTAAGAATGACACGTAATTAGATCAAACTTATTCGCATACCGCGAAATATACCTATATGGGAGCTAATGCGGTTCGGAAAAAGCCGTTAAGAGAAACGCCATCTTTCTTCTTATAGGTTTGTACGAAAAATCCTTAGCACTAAAAAGAAAACCTAACGGACACCAATATTTGAAAATACAAATCATCACATTGCTGCTGAACTGCTTGCATAACCAAATGGGTGGAAAATTCTTCGTTTAGTGCGAACTCACAATTTTCACAAGAAGCAGATCCTTGTAGATTGGTAGATTTCACCCCATTCGTATTATGACAAAGAATACCGAATTTCCTCGCGGCAAAGCATTGAAAGGATGTGTAGAATCTCGTCGGAAGGATGGGCACAGTTTAGAGCGGTCTCAATCAAACAGCACCCCTGACTTGTTCACTAACACAATTGTCAAACTACTAAATAGGGCGAAATAGCTACCTACCCAGCGTAAATCGGTTTCCACATCCAATTGACGGATAGTAAGCAAGTACAAATTTTCTTGTTCGAGTCTCTATTCCGCCCAAGAATGTTACAAAAATCACCAAAATGTTTGCCTTTGTGTTCTTCAGAATGCTTTCGGAATAGTGTGGTGTGCTTCATGCATCCCGTTGCAAAATTACCAGACGGTTCGTGCTTTCCGCCATAAATCCACCGATGATGGACACGATGGAGCAATTTTTAAGCACCAGCCCAAACACAGAATGTGATTAACACGTCTGAATAAAAATGACGTCAATCCAGCAAACAGTGAAGAACGGAAGTTGTAAACGTATAGGATCCCTCAAAAGTACTGTCGTCCTAATGTGAGGACTCCTGATAAATTATTCCGGCCGTCTGGCCTCGAAACTTCTGTGATTCGCACTCTGATATGCTAACCCTAGCTAGATGGCATTTTGTCTGTTGCCCTCATTTAGTTTCAGAACAGCTATGAATTCAGTGTTTCCGTTACATACGTCTACATCTTCGTGCATTCTACAGCTTCTCAGTCGGCCTGAGACCGTGGATTTAAGTTGGCTAGTCCAGTTCATACGACGGAGCATGTGCTGTACTTTGACGAAAGAAATGTGATCCACTGCTTTGCTTGTTGAGGAAATTCCCTTTTTTATGTATTCCTTGGGATGAGTAACAACACTCCTTTTCCAAAATCTGAACTGTACATCACAACCTGTGATTTCACCCAGTACCACTAACTTGCCAGTAACACATACGAAAGCAGTCGTGCCTTCCCAACTGCGATAGGGAAATTGAATGGTGCAATCCGATAGCGGAAGAGTTGTCATTGTTTCCCACCGCCTAGTGTAGACACAAAGAGAGCGCATATCGATATGAGGAGCAAACTGGTTCAGGCATCAAACCTCATCAAAAGCTAACTTCTATCCCATCACGCGAGGGCCAACTTATATTGCTGATCTTAAAATGATTAAGATGGTAAGAAACATACCAGTAAGCCGGACGTAAATTGCTACGGTCCATTACCACAAAACCCAAGGGTAGTGCGCTATGAAATTGAGGTGGAGAGGTTTCAGAAAGCCCGCAAACTGGATTCAAGCTAGAATTTCAGCAAAGCGAATTACAAAGTTTCCAAGGTGAGAAAGTTAAAATAGGCTATTTACGACTTTCTGAATAGTGCTGGGTTACCGTAAACAAAAAATAACGCTTTCATTTTCATGTCAGTGACTTTGATGGATATTCTTTCAAGCTCTGTTTAGGGATTCTGATGACAATTGTTGATTAGTACCTAAAAACCGTTCCGCTTTGATAGTAATTTCATTAGCAAAAGAATTTTAATGAAAATCACTCATCCATTCAAGCGAAGTCTAATTTCCCCATCGGTCCTAAAGTAAATCAGTGCTAAGAACTACTTGTTACTGGAAGCAATCGAGTTACCGCAAAATTTTCAAGACCAGTTTAATGAATACTTACTGGACAAACTGAAGAATGTTGTGCAACAGCATAGCTGAATCCCTCATCTCTCAAAGAGTAGGTTGAGACCAGAAGTAGGGCATCTCTGGCTTGCCATCCAAGTTCGCCTTCCCGAAATACGAATGGTACAAGGAGATCAAAGATGGAATCGATACTTGGAGCCTTTTCGTGAATACTGGACTCCAAGGAAGTCTGAGTCGCTAGATAACTGGATTTCGATTCTGCGGCCATATTCCAGTCAACATAGTCATTCAATTTGAAACTGTTTGCTGTGGTTTGGTTGACCAAAGGTAGGACAGTCTGACCAGCTCCGTCGAGTTCAGCAGATGATCTACGGCCATTCACCTCATTGCTGTCCATCAAACCCAAACACAAACGCCGAAAGAAAAGCAACCCATCATTTTCGAAATGCGCGGGATTCTCACCACCCAGCGAAGGATTGTGATTGGTGACAATCGGCTCCGGAGACTGAGAGCACAGTGCTGCACATATAGAATTCAGTGTGCGCAGGAGAACTCGCTCTACAGCTAAACATGATCGGATGGCACAATAATGAAGGGTTGCCAGTACGGGCAGGGCAAACTACAAGAAAAGGACAGAAAAAGCGGGAACATTGAGTCAGACATGGTCAACTAGTGGAACGGGTAAAAATTCGTCAGACTGGTAACAATATTTTGTGACAAAAGCTTGTGCTGCCTGACTGATTCGGATGATGGAGTTGAGCTTAATCTAAACTGTCGGATTATTTCACAGGTCCCAGACCATATCGACCAGTGGTTTGGAGTGGTATATCCTTCACCGTCCAAGGATTTGCGCGATAAGTATGTTACCATCAGTTCATCAGCGGAGGCTAAACGCGCCTGAGCTAACACGTCTAATCAAGGGAACATGTTCTGGTTCGACCGATGAGACTGGCTTGCCCGATCTCTTGAATAATAGGTTATTGCCTGTTGTATTGATTGACAACACTCAGGGACCTTTCATACAGCTCGTATGTTACACGCCCTTAGCAAAATTTTTGGCGCACTCCAAGCACAGAGTAAGTGGTTTCCAGTGAAACAGGAAGGTGATCAAGTGATTCAGTCGCAGTAAGCTGTGTGCGTCACACCGTACCATATTAGTTTGGCGAGATCGTGTCACCCTTTCGATTGTGACCAAGCTTCCGAGTGCGTCGTTTTTCGGACTGTATTACCTCCAAAACCGCTAAAGTTTGTAATAAAATATCCATAACGTAGGATTCAGTGCACTAAGAAAGATGGAAAGATTTTTGAAACGGCACGAAACAAGAAGAGAGGGATGATGGCACACTATCGTTTAGCACATTTTAAGCACAAAGTGAATACGAGACAGATAACCAACGCAACCAACCTCGCTCCCATAAAACAATCACTGACTACTGAAAGCAGTGCTAGCATGCACTCGCATTCAGTGGGACCTAAAAATATCCACATACGGCTATCCGTGAAAATTTGGCATTGATAGATTTGGCAGTGGGGATTCAATTAAAAACCTTACAGAATTTGTTGATTGTGTTACCATAGTACTAGCTGTCAGGAGAATCCGCCGACGGTGCAGTAATCTGTTATTTGGTTTTTTCTTCGCATGAGGAAGGTAACCAAATGGCAACCTTATTTGACATTTCTCTAACTTTGCTACTGCCTACCAATTCCACCACAGTACTCAACAAACCATCATGGTGGTCTTAGGCTTTTGCTAAACAGAGTTCTACGGTCATGGATCTTTCGGGTGTGATTCTGTTCCGGAATTGTACAAAAATCTATCTTGTTCCTCAAGCTGAAACGCCATGTTGTATGTGCAACTAGATTTCGGTCGATAACAGTTCTACGTCTCGTCCTATGGTGATAATGAAAGTGGGAAGGAAGATCCCAATGATTTTCTCAGGCTGGATATTGGTGAAACTACTGGATGCACGAATCAGGATATGGCTTTCACTTATCGGCTTTTAACACCTAGATTTGCCGGAATGTGTTACACTTTTGGGATCAAACTGAAATAGTATAAGCTAGAAAATGAGGCGAAACTATGCGTGGCAGAGCGTACTGTCTTTTTAGTGGTGTAGTCCTTGTCAAGGAACAGAAGGGTGAACTGTGAGCTGTAATTCGTGTGGATTTGGATTTCGCAGCGCCGTCTCCAGTTTTATCAACATGAACCTCTTAGAGAAGCTGAACGCATTCATCTCAACTAAACTCAATTCGGAGGCGAACTGTAATTGAAGTTGGTAACTGAATTCCTAATCAGTCAGTTGGATGAAGCAATAATTAACAGCCTCAGTGCCAGTAACTTCGCGATCTTGTCACATCCAGAGAAATAGTGCTTGACGCGCTAATGAATGTGACAGTCTGAATAACGAGACGGAGTTCATAGATTAATAAAGAAAATCCGGTAGCATGACCAGGTTATTCTCACCTCAAATGTGGCCCAATCGAAACATCAGCACGGCTAATAGTCACGATCACAATCAACACAAAACAGTACTAAAGCTCAGAGGGGAACTAGGGGACCAAACATGGTAGAATGGTTCCTGATAAGCCAGTGAATCTAAGTGACTTCAACCTGCAACGCTGCTGGACTGGAGTTATTCATTAGTAATAACCCAGATGACAGGGACTGAAGGATGCACTACAAGTTCATCATGTTGTGGCGCTAGCGCGTCCAGAGGTTCTACTGCATTCACATTCTGAGGCTCCATTACAGTCCAGTGAAGGCTGTTGTAGAAGGCCTACAAGCAACAAAACGTTCGTTAGTGTTTCAGGCAGGAGAGAAACGCATATCAGTCGTAACTTCCAAAAGGAAACATCGACATCAATCAATAAATTCCACATAGCCGTGTGGTCATCGGTGGAGGGACGAGGGCGCACACTTTACTCCACACCTGTTTTTTCGGGCTACTACGAATGACGACAAGATGCAATCAGACATTCAGAGATAAGATGTGCTCTGCGTTTCTGGTCCCAAAAGAGTAGAAGGCAATTCTATCCAGATATAATGACGGAAGTTTGTGAGCAAACGCAAGATTTATCAAGATTGACAGAAGATTGCAGTAGAATGGCCTGTGATGATAATTTGCAAATCAATGCGAAGTTTGTTTACTTCCTATTGTAAGACACCACAAGTGCATATCTAACACGTCTCAACTGTACAGCTATCCCCAGATATGCGGATCCCGTACAATTTGGGTTCAAATGGAACAAATTTTCACAGGAATTGATGATAATTTGCAAATCAATGCGAAGTTTGTTTACTTCCTATTGTAAGACACCACAAGTGCATATCTAACACGTCTCAACTGTACAGCTATCCCCAGATATGCGGATCCCGTACAATTTGGGTTCAAATGGAACAAATTTTCACAGGAAGAGACAGACTGTGCCTATCTGATGAGCCCCAGGAAAGGATAAACGGGTTGTGTTCTGTCAAAGAGTTTCCAGCAATCTTACGAGTAGTTTCCTTCAAGAAAAAATACCCTCAATCTAACTTTCAAAACCGCTACGTAGACAATTATTTTGGTGGGTTTGCGATTAGGAGCAAACGAGCACAAAGCCTATCGAGAAATCGAGGATTTTAATCACAGAACTCGAATTTGACTACTAGGCTCTGCTAATTCTGGTGACCAACAGTATCGCTGACTCCTGTCAAGTAGAACATAAGGTTGACGGAAACCCGGGGACTGCGCCTACCTGATGAACCCCAAAAAGGGTGAAACCGGTCGTGGGCTCGCGATGGATTTTCAGCAACCTTATGAGTAGTACATTACAAAGATATGACTCCTGTCTATTTTGGGCCAATTTTACGGCAGCACGGACGCACGTCACACAATGTCGGGTATTTGCTTGCCAGTCCTAAGATAGTGGTTGGTTGTGCATTCTATGCACCCCTATAGTCTAGGAAATCCACTTATTATACTGACTGGAGATCTGAACCCATTCTATCAGCATTCTATGAAAGGCTAACTAAATGTACAAGTAAAGCTTCTGGGACAGACCAAGTCTTTATGCACTGGAAAGGGGTCAACTTTCAACGATATTTCATATTCACCAGAGTGTAATCAGAAACAACGGAATTCGGTGGTACAATATTCAGGTAGTTCACATTCCTCCACCTGATCAAATAAATCATCTGAAAATCACGTAACCTCCGATCAACACCAATTAGTGAGTAAAGTCACTTGCACTTGCTTTGCACTAGAAACGGACCGCTAGTCTGCGGATCTAACATTTCTGCACCGATTTAGTCCTGTAGCGGTAGTGCCCGTTATTTCGAGAAAGTGCTCTTGCTCTGTTGTGTCACAAACTCCGCACTTCTCTGAAAACAAGCAAATTGTTTGTTTTCAGCTGTCCTCCACTAAATCTCTTTCCGCTAAAGCAAACAATATTATGCCCCTACGGGTTTAAGTAGATATTTGGCTACCGTAGTACTCGCTCTCACAAAAAATAAACTCCAGGAAACAAAACCCCCGTCTGACATTTTGTATGGGAGGTGAGGTAGTTTTCGCTTCAATATTTCCTTGGGGAAACAGACCCGCGGAAGCGAAGCTGGTGCACATTCCGGTCCTTAAAAGAGCTGACTTTTCAAGCGTAAATATTCTATAGGTTGTCCACTATGCTACTAACTTGATTTTAATTGTGAGTTGTCACGCTATACAGTTGAGACCAGAACCGCAGAAGATCCTTGTCAACGGTACCTCACTCGGTTAGAATTGATGTGGGCGCACACCATCATACACTGGGACCACTACACTCACAATGCACATTGAGGATAACGTAGCCAAAGTATATGGTAATGTAGCGCGAGAAAATTCTATCTCCATCGTGTTTCCAGTTATCATCAGTGTTGCTATTTCTATAGTAAGATGTATTTCCGTGATTTATTATCTTGTTTTGCGGTTCCAAGTCGATTTCAGCTGGGCAGTACAAAAGCTAAAAGTCTGCGAAGAACTGATAAACAAAAACTAACTAAACGAGCTGTACTGAGCGCACTAGTAGGCGAGTGGTAGGTAGATGCACGTTACGAATAACAGGAGTATTCACTGCATACAGTGCCAAAATGTTATCAAAAATTAACAAAAACTCCCCCAAACAACCGGATTTAATTGACAGATGATGTTTCAACCGAACATTTAGGTAACGTGCATCTACCAGGCCATTACTGATTTTCCTTTCACCCACTTAAAATGTAGACCATTGTGTACGTAGAGTAGCTTTAGTTTAGTTTAGTATTGCAATTGCGTAATCGGAATCAACTACTCCTCGAGGAGTCATATTTCTATATGCCAAAATATCTCCTCGTGGCTATGAACCCTTTCACAGCTTTAGACACGTGTTAATGAAATTTCGATGTGAAGGTACTTCTCAGCCTGTACTCACGCAGAAATTCAAGGAGTAGGGTTGTCAGGTGGTTACGAAACGGCTTAATAAACCGAGGCAGTTGGAAGCGAATACGCTCGCGGGGAACGCATTAGGAAATACCGAGAGGATTCTGAACAGATCATACCACAGGGTTCTACAAGGATGTGCAATTCGGAATGTCTAATCTTCAAGTCTATTTTGGCACGATAACTCCTC